ATAGATTATTTTTCAATAATCAGTAATTTCATAGGTGTAAACTTTTTTTTTGACTCACACTTTAAATGCATCAAATTAAGTCTCTCTTTCTCCCTCTCACGGCCTACCTTATTCAAGATTATCACCCATCTTCCATCTCTTTTTCCAAATTTTGTAAGTAATGTATCCATTTATATGTCTCTCTTTCTCTTCTGTAGTCTCTTCCTCTCGTATTTTATCCCCTCCCTCCTCTCTCTCTCTCTCTCTCTCTCCCTCTCTCTTTCTCATTCAATCTATCTTTTAATTTCTTTCTCCTGCTCATCTACATCACATCTTTCATTATCCCTCTCTTTCTCTCATTACATCTCTACATGTATTTTATTATACTTCTCCATCTCATATACACATGTGTCTGTATAACACTGTATGGCACCCACCATCCCCCTTCCCCTCTCTCTTGTTAGCTTCATATTAATTGCACGTATGTGTTTTGACATAATCACAAACTGTTATCCACTCTCGTACTACAACCCCCATAAACTGTATTATTCACATGCAAATACAATTCTCCCAAATACTGAGAAAGAATCAATGTATACAAAAGACCTGATGACGGAGAGGAGACCATTTTTTGCATTTATGTCGAGTTTGTATCATATTCATTTTATTTACAATATATTATTCTTCCGTCAATAATGAGTTTCTTATCATAATTCACAAACAGTCATATGTATATACACATGTATCAGTAATATTTGTCACACAGTATCATACCATGATATATATAGAGATTTGCCATTATGTAAGGAGTTGCCATAAAAGCATATCAAACACTTTGTAACACAACACATTTCGACACTGAGCTCTACTAGATCCAATATCAATATAGCACAAGTAATACTTTCAGTTAGATCAATGTAAGGAAGAACGAAACCGTTACAAACATATCTTCAAAGTTATGCTGTATATATGCAGCTTATACAAGCCTTGCTTGAATGATGACACAATTTCATTTCTTTAGGTATTTAGGCAAGAGTTCGATTTTGTTTAAATCAATTAGTTTAATCGTGCATGAATTAATGTTAATATATTTTGAAGAAACTTTCAAATCAGGTGAACGAGAGATCTATTCTATAGAACTTAAATAGCTACTGTTTGGCACTCTTTCATATTCAATATAGAAACAGAAGATTAACCCTTTCTATGCCATCTACATTTAAAACTCTTACATTGCAAGGAAAATTTGAAAATCACAACATCCTTAAAAAAATTGAAAGAGAAGTTTCCACCATACCTGTAAAAATACAAAACTAAAATTAATGAATAATATCTCATACAAAGTATGGCTTCAAATTGCACGTTACAATTCAGCTTACAATCGAACAGACATATATCATTGCATTCGTCTTCAAACAATAAATGAAAATTACATCATTCATAAATAACAATTCCTTATTAAAGTTTTGTTCACATATATGCCACAGTGAAATCTTGTGGTAAACTGCTGGGACAAATGAGCTACTCATTTCGTTATAACACAGGCATTAAAGTCAGTACATGCAGAAACTAAGCTGTGCGCAGGTACCTTTTAAAAATTCTTTCTTTTCATTCATTGACGAGTGGAAAACCCTTTATAATGATGAGCGGGTTATGCATCAATTTTTTTAAATAGGATATCATCACCTATCATACATTTCATTTAAGAAATTAAAATGTTCAATGTATTATCACATAACATTACTAATTCATTAAGATATATTTATTACTGATGTAGTTTGTTTCAATAGATTCTACTTATATCATCCGTAGTGTTATCAAGGAAATGTAGGCATATCCAATCTTGATATTCAGTTTTGTTCATATAGACTCTCAACTAGAATTAGAAAGTATTTGTATATACCGGTATATACGTGTTGCTTCGAATCAGCCTCTAAACAAATCTAAAATGAAGCATTCAAAATCTGGACCTTTTCTACAATAATGCACGAAACAGAAAGATAGAAAGCTAGTAACCTGAGTTGAGTATGTCATCAATTATTCAATAGATGGTTCATCATCAACAAATACCAATACTTATGTTATATTATTATATATTATATCTTTTTTAATTCAAGGCATGGAGTTGAAACAGTAATTTATCAATTTGTCAGTTTGATTCTCCTTGGACCACCAGATGGGTATTACTCTGATTTAGGTCAAGAAATACTGACAGAAACGTTGTGTAGATGTGGATTTGTTCCTTTAAATGGAAATGTTTGGGATAAGATATTATTTTAAACATACATATACCATGGATGTAGGTCTAAAGGAACTGCTTCGTTGAATGTCCATTTGTAGTAGGTCCATGCATATACATTGTACATATGTAAGTAACAAAAGGGCATGAACGATTATTCCAATGCACAAAAGTGTTAATGTTTTATAAAGGGATAATTGAGTTTTGTTGCAGAGGGTGCTACACAAAATAATTTTGAGTGAGATAAAGAGAAGCTGAGTGTTAAATTTGAAAGAACATGATTATATTTGTTTGATCAAAATCTGTTCAAAGAGGGCTGAAATATCCATAAATATGACCATTTCTAATATTTGTGGGGCCCCTCAAATATTAAATAATTTAGAACCAGACGTTGAAAAAACGAGATAGCGTCTTATACGTTTTATTCCAGCCAATGTCAATATTGGCTTTGTGTTGGTTATAATACGCACAACCAGCACCTTGTTTATTGTTATTAATTATCAATTAATTAATTAACGGTCACCATATATTTTTTTTAAAGTGGAGCTGAATCAGTGTATTTAATCTGAATTTCACACATTTTGGAGTCTAAAATTACCCTCATAGTAATTTTAGGTCCTAAAAGGGCACTAGAAATGTCTTAAATAAGAATAAGAACAGTAACCATGAACTTTGAAGGCATTTGCGGTCTTAAACAAGAACTCAACTATCCCTTTCAACTAATCTGAAACCAAAGGAAACAAAATCATCTGCTTGAAGACAGAAAGATGCTTACTCCTAATAACATGATACAAGCTAAAGCCCTTCTGGCTCCAAACAGACAAAATATCAAAATTACAGTGGGACTTCATTATAAGGAACATCATAGATAACTAATTTGACCAGTTCTGCATCTTTATACTCCAATGTTTTTGAGCACTGATATAACAAGTTAACATAGCAAGGTAAATTCCTTGGTCCACAAAGGATTTGTTATAATGGGGTTCACCTGTATCATACATGTACATACCAAGAATGTTCATTTAATAATACACAAATACAGGGTGGCTCAGAAAAAAATTAATGTGGGATCAAATTCACTGGTACCAGGAGAAGGACAATCTTTCAACATGAAAAATGATACTAACATGAAGAAATTTGGGAGAGGAGTTTTTGTTTTAGGGAGTATTTTTTTATGCAAGGGAGGAGGAGTCCAGTAACAATGATACTGCATTTTAATGACTCTTATATTTTCATATCTGTTTAACAAGTCATTGAAATGCCTAAAAAAAGAAAAATGTGCGTGGAATGTTTTATTTGTGTTCAATCTTACGTTTATTAATTACAGCTTGCCCAAAGCTCATGCATAATATGATTTCTGAAACTACACAATGATACTTGCTATTCTGTAAGGAGCACTGCCAGTGGATGTCCTCAATATTGTTTCACAAAAATGTGTCTAAATGAAAGATTACTCAAATTATTTTGACAAATCTGGTATTGTGTTTCTTTTTCTAAAAAGATTCCCCATCTACTGGAACTGTTGAAATTTGCCCTGTATTACTGGAAGTAGGCTATACTAATTCGTTTTTATTGTGCCACCCTGTATATCAAGTTGCATGCCACATGTCCAACTTTAGTTGTGTAATGATGGCAATCAGATCAAATTAGTTACAAAGAAAGTCTGATAACCAGGAATGCTATATATACATTTATTTTTTGTTCAAATGAGAAGAAAAAAATATTTCAGCTGAAAAGTAGAAAAAAATCATATAAATACATAAATGTACAAATAAAATACATGTACAACGCATGCATTCAAGCACCAGGGAAGGGGTTTATGTTTCTCTTTAAGTACAGCATCAATCATACAAAATTCTTCAAGTTTCTAAATTCTTATATTGCAAAGTAGAAACTACTGGAAAGATTTCATGAGGCATTAACGAATGATGATACTGACAATCAGCATAACACCTGTGTGTTTAATCATCGTAAAACATTACCCCCACACCTCTCCCTGTAAATAATGCTGCCAGTAGGTGATCTAGTTGCTACCATGTGACAATTTTGAATCAACGTTTCTTGCAGAAAAAAAGATGCACACACGGTATCAAAAATACCCAAAGAATTTGGGCGCTTTGTATTTCAAATTGCTAAAAACTTTAACCTTTTTAGATTTAGAATTTTCCAGCTAATAGAGTAGTGTCATGATTGTACTATGATCTTTGAAATTAAGATCTTTGTTGCACAGAAATACGACCTATCATATATAGATCATGTCAATTTATGTAAAGTGACTTCTTCATTTAATAGCGAAATAGCGAAATTGCCTTAATTTGTTTTTAAATCTTTGTCTCATCAACTTTTGAGGTTACGTGTCTAGAATTAAATGGCCTTTTCTGTTATGTTGACAGTCTGTACAAAGACTGCACAGTGAAAGAGCTGCACACTAGTTAATGCTTTAGTCAATAAAAATAGCTGTTGCTTTTCCACATATTTTCAACTTCTAAAATTGCCTACTGCCCACTTGAGAAAATGCCCGTTTGTCAGAACATTTTGACCCAATTTGAAAAGGTTTGCAATTGGTTAATAGAGTAGTACAAGTTAAACGACTATTAAAAATGAACTATTCAACTGGTTTATTTATTGTTGTACTTCATACCTGCCCAATCAAATATAAAAAATACCCAAACATTAATTGAGAAGCTTAGAGGGCAAGTTCGAACTATTTTCTCTCTTGCGTTGCTGATCATATAAAAGACTTCAGTTATATCTTGCTTGTATTCGGTTAATACTAGCCTTACTAGAGCTTGATAAGGACCAAAATGAAGTAAAATGACACATTGGATGTGAATTTGAGGGTTTAGACTTCGACAATACTTAGTAACTGTTGGACATCAAATGACCAAATACGTTGGACTTTCCCAAAATAAAGAAAAATATGAAAGGGTATCAACAATCGACATTTACATTACTCCCGAGTTGTATGAAACAAATATATTCCCTTTTTAAATCTGCTCATCTCATAAGCAATAAAGCACAGTTCACAAACATGCAGACTTGTAACCGCACATAGGCCCTTAGTAAAACATTGGTTTCTCTCTACAGATGTATATCATTTTTCTTATTTCTCCCTTACACCCTCAACCTCGCTCAGCAATGTACACACTTTCCACCTGCCCCTTCCCTCCTCCCTTTCTCTCTTTCTCTCTGTCTCTCTCTCTCTCTATGTCTGCCCCACCCGCTTTCTCCCTTCCTTGTTACCTCACTCTCTCCCTCTTTCTCCTTCCCTTCCCCATTTCTCTGCCTCTCCCCTCTCACATTCTTGATTTTTCATGGCTTCCCCTCCCACTATCTTTCTTAGTGTGTACACCTTTTTGCAATTTTCTGATTTTCTAGGCAAACAGCTAATGTTAAAATTATTACAAAAGACACAATGAGAATAGTATACAGATTATTCACTGTATGACTCCACTTCCCAATGCTTGATTCTTAGAATCACTGCCATGTAAACTTGTGAGCTATCAAGATGATTAAAAAAAAGGAAAACAAATAAGAATCAATAGTTATAGACACATGCACCAAAATCCTTCTTTGAACACAAATGCTGAATTCATAACCTGACGATACCTCATGTATATCCTTTATATTAAGGCCAGCATTACAGTCACTTTTCATTTGATTGACAAAATAACCCTGTTAAGACTAGACTTTGGAAGGTTAGACTTTGTGCAAGAGAGTGAGGTGGGAGAGGGGCTGTCACCCACATGAAATATTGTAAAATCTTCAGTATATGATGTATATAGTATGACTGCAGCAATTTATGCGAAACAATTTGATATTTACTCAAATGTATACAGTTACAATGTATATAGATTTTGCTTGAATAAAGGCCCAAAACTGACCACAAAGTACATGTGAAATTAGTTTTAAAGGATGCATGACTGGGGGGGGGGGGGGGGGAGGGGAGGGGGAGGGGGGAGGGGGAGGGGGGAGTGAGGGTGAAGAGTATGGACAGAATGAATATCTTCCAATGTCTGTATAGGGTTAACATTTCCTAGCTTGACTTGTCATGGTATACTTAACTGAATTCTATCAATATACTATCAATTCAACCCATTCCTTTCATGTAAACATGTCTCCAAAATGAATCAGGTACAAGTAATGCTGTTCAAATGAGTGATGATGGCCTTTAATACCACCACTACATGCTTTAATAACAAGAAGGGCCGAGCCATTTTTTTTTTTTTTTCCAAAACTGTTTAACCGTTTAAAATAAACGGGCGATTTTGTTGAAAATAAAAGATTTTAAAAAGATGTTCAAATTTGCAACGTTGCAGCTACCATATAAATAATCACCAAAGTAGCCTGTCAAAAATTAAATGGTTGGCACCTTCAGTTTAAAGTTCATAAGTTGCACAATACAACCCTCTGTGAGAACTCTACATCGCCGCAGGGATTGTCGCACTGTACATATCTTGATGTTGCTGCGTGCTTCCCCCGCAAGGACGCGTGTTGCAGTGAATAAAGAACAGGATCTATCGAAAAACAGGATATGAAGTTTCCATAGCTTGGAGCGGAACCGCACATTTTGGGTGCATTTCGTGAGCGTTATAAAGGGTAAAGACATGAAATAACATGACAAGTTGATGAATTCCATGTTTTAAGCTGAAAGCCATGCAACATGACTTCACTCTTTATCTCTGAAAAATACTAAGGAGATTTTAAAATGGAATAATCAACCATGTAAGATATAACTAAACATTTGATCATTATAGCTATCATGTTCCAAAATTTATTAGCTCTTAATCTATTTCACGTTCATTTTGTAGATCAGAGTTCCCAATTGATTCTCAATGTCTACGAGGCTTTGCCACTTACATTCCTCCAATGTACTCTGTGCACTTACAGATGACCTTGTGAACATACTTTTTATTTACCTCCTTTTTTTCTTTCACTTTCGGGTGAAACATATTGAAAATTTTGCTTTTAAAGTTCATTTAACCGTCGGTTAAGTGTTTCGACTCAGCCTTAATAACAAAGTATTTTTTTCACCCAAGGAAAGCGACATGTTACGACTTCACCCGCTGGCAGAGATGGAGCTGGGTTGCGATACATTACTGCACCTGTACCTCGACTGGTGGCCTGTACTTCCATACTCTCTCCTCCCTCTCCAATACTATGCTGTGCAGTGTGTTGGATGAGATGGGGTCAGACTGGTGATTTAACTCCCTGAACGTGATGCCTACCTTGTAGATGCCGTGGTAGAGGAATAAGAAGGTGCATTCATGGCTGGCCGACTGATCGCTCTCAAACTACAACAGACAAAGGAAAGAAAGATGCAAAAGACAATTCTTTCAAGTCAACATAGCTTCAGAAGACACTGTCTAAGGGCTTGACACTAACAAGTACACATGGGCACCCAAAATCTAGGTCTTATCCCCAATTTGTTTTACATATGGCTCATGTACAAAGACTCTAGTTCATTCCCGACCCCCTTCAAACAAAGTGTGCAGCCTTGCAGAGTGTATCAAAATAATAACAAGTCAACGCAAAGCGTAGCATCCCCTCGCAGGGTAAAAATGGCCTACATACGTCAGAACACGTTACCTCCATTGGACTACCAGTATATTATTATATTACTAGGCAAGGAAGTTAAACACATTTTCACATATATAATTAGGTGTTTTTGTATATTTAATAAGCTATGACCTTTCACTTTTGACCCATATACTCAGAAATCGAACTTAGGCTGTACATGTGTTTTGATACCATGAACCTTATTATCAAATTTCATTAAAATCTGTCAAACAATACTAAAGTTATGGATCGGAAACCAGATTCGCATATTCAATGAGCTATGACCTTTGACCTACATACTCCAAAATCGAACTTAGCCTTTATTTTGATATCATGTACCTTCATATCAAATTCATTAAAATTTGTCAAACATTACTGAAGTTATCGATCAGAAACCAAATTTGTTACGGACGCACGGAAGGACGGACGGCAGCGTTACTATATCCCCTCCGACTTCGTCGGCGAGGGGTTAATAATAAAAAATGATAATAATAATAGTCCATTCTTGTGTAGCGCAGAATACTTAGTCTCTATGTGCTTCCAAAGAGCTTCGGGAATTATTAACCTAGATTAGCTCCAGCTACCGATATCGGCGCTCAGTGCATTTCAAGAAATAATCCTGCCAGGTACCCATTTACCTCACCTGGGTCGAGTGTGGCAAATGTAGATGAATGTATTGCGAAAGGACATTAGTGCCGCGGTGGGACTTGAACCGCCTACCCTGAGATCCACAGTCCGGTGATGTATCCACTCATTCGCAACACCTCTACGATAATACATGTCACTTACCTGTTCTATGACTCTTGAGGTAGTTCCTAAACATGCTACTTTATCAGCAGGATTCATCTCTCTCTTTTCGTTCTCATGATCCATGTAAACACTTGTACTCAGCTCAACAGGACCAACACAAGAGTCTGCAAATATACAAACGAATGGGAAAAGGCTCAACTTTGGTATCTAAAGGTTAAGTAAAGTACAGGTCAAGTTGATCCTTGTGCACATGTACATACATGTATTTGTGTTGGCAATTTTCATGGTATGCAGTTTTCACTAAGTTTTTGCTCCTTTTTTGTTTGCATTTGAGTGGCATAGACTTGATCACAACATGTAATCATTGCACGATAGGATTTCAGAATAACTTTACAAATATGTTTATGATAAACCAAGCTTCCGTGCGAGTACTCCAAATTGTCAGTATTGGATTGGCACATACAGGTACCTGCAAATACAACATGCATAAATGGGGATACACTGATGACACAGACACCGACTGCGAGTATGGAACATCTGTGCAATCTATGGCACACTGATTAAGATGCCCACTCCTAGATGACCAATGCTGCCTAGAAGACCTAGTGCCAGCAAATGAGAAGGCTCTTCAGTGTGCAAAAGCCTGACAGAACATTTGAGTTCAGATGATGGACACGAAAGAAGACATACCTGCTTTACTTGTGACAGAGACAGCTATGGTAAGAGGCTCGCCCTGGTTGACCGTTACTGGTTCCCCGACCATGTGGGGCTGACCGTTCACCTGGACATGCCACCAGACAGGGAACGGGACGATGTTGTCCAGTTCCTCTGGAGATAACTTGAGACCCTCCACCGATACGTCCCCACATTTACCATTCATGGGGTGAGACGCAACAGTCAAGGAAATACTTAAACACTCTATCCGATAAAATACAACTTTATGTCAATGGAAAGCTAAATGAAAGTCGAATATAAAGGAAAACAAATATTTTCCCTTTCAGCATTGCACAAAATAATTTAAAACCTCATTTTCCGCAACCCTCAAAATTAAAGGCATCGTTTAACAATGTTAAATCTGAGACGCACGGCCCTACAGTACATGCTACCAGTGTCTGTGATATTGTGTAATATTAAGCCCATTTTTAATTTAAAGAAGAAATTTTGCTACATATGTTTAATAGAAACAATAACAAAATTGTATTCGCTAAAACTACATATGGCACCGGAACGGTTGAATAACAGAAGTCTATATCTGTTTGGGTTGGGACACACTTTACAGACAGGTTGGTAGATCAACATGGACTTGGATTAAAAAGAAAGACAAATGTAATAATGTCTGATGTTACCATCAGTGTACGAAGCAATGTTCTGTGTAAGTAGACTTTGTACTGATGCAAACATAGCTGTTGGTCTGGGGATAGAGAGATAGAGAGATAGAGGTAACAACTAGCTTAATTTCTGGAAGCAAATTGTATATTTGCAATCGTATGGGTATGTATGAATGTATATATGTACATGTAAGGATGCATATTTATGCAAGGGGGTATATGTATTTTTGTAAGTAAATATCCCTGAAACAATGCATAGCCTACAAAAACAATGCACATTCAAGCTTAATTGACTATTTGATGATATGAGGTCCTCTCATACAAATTTTCATGATGAAAAATAAGCAAAAGCTACAAACAATCAAGAGTGAATGCCTGATATTTGAAAGGATATACATTGCCACCTGATGTCAACCATGGTCGCTAGTTGTGCCGAGAAAAGATGAAGCTGGGGACTCTCCAACACGTAGGAGAATTCCGAACTTTCGTTGACTGCTTGAGTGTCCAGCTCAAACCGATCTACACGAACTGCCATCCTACAAAGCACAAACAATGCAAGGAATGGGTTCAACACTTGAATTTAATATACCGGTAGGTTAAACCAATGATGCTATAGGTTTGTGGTTATAATGAAAAATTTAGAAATGAGAAGCTCCAAATAATTTCATGTTTTTACTTCAATTGATGTCAAACCTCCAGGTAAAAGCAGAAAATGTATACAAATTCCTGATAAAGATCATGAATTACATGCAATTGATGGAAACTATGAATCTGGTATCACGACTCTTATCAGAGTTTTCTTTTTCAGCCCTATATTACAGCTAAAGCTATTGATCTTGTAATAAATACAAGGGAATAATACAAAAAATGAAAAAAAAAAAAAAAAAAAATAATACCTCTTTGTCTTTTGACTCTCTAAAGCTAGCTCACAATTCTCCTCTCCATATTGCACTTTTAGATCTTGAGAGGTAGCATTCATGGCATCAAGCACCAGATGGAAATGTCTCGGACTGGAAAAAAGGGAAAGAGAGTTGGAAAGAAATACCGGTATAACAATAGCAAAGCAATGCAATGATTGAGAGGAAAAGAGGTTTGAAACAAAATAAAATTTGACATAAAACAGTGGAACATACAGAAACTGTATGAGAGAGAAAACAGTGGGGGGGGGGGGGGGGGTGAAAAATGGGGAATACAGAAAAATAGATTGAAAGTTCAGACAGAGAGAGAGATAAGATGTATATCATTTCAAACCATGATTACTCCATCTAAAGTGAGTTGGTCTGCAGGTCAGCCCATAGGTCAGCTCACATGATGACGAAAGGCCTAAAAATGCCTAATCGATGCGTGTTGGTCCTCCAAGATACCCTTTTCTTATCTTAATTGAGAGCTGATTTGATGAGATAACCACCTGTCAGTGACCTTCAAGGGAGGTCTAATCCCCTAGCCAAACTAGTACAGACAGGCTTTAAAGGAGGATGATAGGGGATGATCAGGTGTCCTTGCTACGCACCTGTAAAGACCCACTTACATACACACACCCACGCTCAATGATGCAATAAACTCCTCAATGGTAGCACTGAAGAGGTTCATCAAATTGGACATGTGATGTTTAGAATTAGCTTTCTTTAATACACAATACACAATTTGTTCTTTACTTGATTGCAAACAGAACCATTTCTCACATCCTCAATAGGCAGTGTCACACAGAGGCCATAAATCCAGATTTTAGTTATCCTCTTAATTGCTGTCTGTCATCAATTATCCCATGAAAAATCCTCTAACAAAGCAAGAAAATTCTCCCTTGAAAGGATTTTTCAAGGGATTTTTTAAGGGGTTTTTCTGTGTGACACCGCCTATTGCCATTCTTTTCTAGTTGGTGGTAAAAACTGACTTACTCTGTAGCTGGGATGGTAGTCCACTTTGTGAAGACTATAGATGGCTGAACCTCAACATTCAGAACTAGAGAGGTCCGTCTGAAGTACTCGTCCACCCCCTCTCCTCCAGAGTACTGCATGTTCAGAGTACCTTCAATAGTCTGCAAAAAAAGAAGGAGAAGAAAAGAAAGTTGTCTCAAGTAAAACAAAATATGATTCTCAAATTCCATGGTTAATCATGCTGTAAGAGCTTTTTCTACATTTGGGTGAGAACTCGGCCAATACTAGCTACAATTATTAGAGTAATTACAATTATTTTCTACCATTAAAATTATTGCCTTAATTTTTTTTTTAAAGAAGTACAATGTATATTAAATCAAATCAAATGACCATTAGTTTGAAATACTATTCCTATATATTCTTATAAGAGTAATGAATTTTCATTGAAATTTCTTGCTTTCAGAGTAATTTCACTGTAGAAACAATAATTTTAAACATGGATAGAGAGAGACTTGGACTATCTACCTTATAAACAATCCAGAATAACTTCTAAATTCCAATTTCTAGTTAACGTTGAGGCTCAGAACTTGCGAGGAGAGTTCAGACAAAATAAAGCTGGTCAATAAATAACCTGCTGACTATTTAAAGGTATAGAACAGTTTTGGAAATGCCCCCCTCTCAAAAGATGAATTGGAAGCTCTCATTACCAATCATGTGAAAGAATATGTTTTGACTTATAAGTGATGATACAAATTTTGCTTGGAAACCGCCTACTAATTGATATATTTGGTAAATTATCATATCAATCCGGCCTGGGTAGATATCGTGAATGCACTTCAACATTGAAAATTTGGGCATATATTTCTGTTTTTTGCGAATTTAGGTTGAAGTATTGCCATCTAAACCTCTGAAGGCAATATTGAAAAATATTGAATGGATATTTTGCACCCAAAACCCTTGAGCCGCAATTATATCACTACTGGTCTATATCTTTAAACGCTCTATAGGCTGAATACAGGTAGCACCCAGCTCCCATAGGCAAGATGTTAGAACAAAAGTTGTTTATACCTGTTGTAATCTGGTAAGGTCTATTTCGTGTGGTGCTAACGCTTGTTGTTCTAGCATAGACGAAGAAGGGGATCTGGATGGGTTGGATGGCAGACCGGGTATCCTGTCTGTTCTGTTTACTGTAGGTGTTGGGGGAACATTCACTGCAAAGGAAGGAGAACAATCTCTAATTATACATGTACAGTTAAAAACTAATTTATTCAAACCCTTCTCAAGTTTTGTAATTTTTTAAGTGTGTGAAAAAAATGATTGGTGCAGATTTATGTTTCTTGAGAATATGACATATTAAAGCTTACATTTAAAAGTATCTATCAAACACCCTAATTCAACTAGTCCAACTTTCATCCCAGAGTTATGAAGAAACACGAAAATATCACATTTACAAGGGGTATGAATAATTTAGTTGTTAGACTGTATATGATTTATCATTACTTGATATGCTACCTTGGCAAACTAGTAAACAATATGCTAATCATAGTGGTTCACTGCAGTTTAGATGATGTTATGTTTATTAAATCAAAATCAAATACCTCCTTAGGAATAAGTATTACATAGTGATTGGTTTTATTGTTGATATTATCTTGCCATCTATAAAATTGACCTGACTTTTTGCATAATAAATAGATGGATTGCTTTTATTTGCTTTTTTTCAGATTATGGCAGAAAACAGTGAATAAGGCAGTTGTCCACTGACACTTACATGGAAAGGTAAAGTCAATATTGAAAAAAGTAGATATACACAACAACAAAAAAACATTAATAAATAAAGTCAGATAATTGCAAATTGACAAATATGAAGTTTGTTGTTAAATGTCCATCAAGGAACTTACTTGGTTTTGTATTACCAGATTGTACACAGAAGGGTCCCTTTGCTTTGATATACAGAGTGAGTGTCAGCTGACACGTTGGTTGCAATGGAAGTTGAGTTTGAACATTCTCCTCACTCCATGTAAACACGTCATCTGCAAAGTGCATACAAAAGACAGAGAAGTTAAGAAATAAGCAACAAAAATTTTAATTAGGCGGTGTCACACAGAAAAATTCTGACCCATCTTGAATAAACCAGATTTTAGAAATCTAGTTTTTTCATTTACATTGGTGACAGACTGGTGACAGACAGGCTACGAATAATCTGGATAACTAAAACCTGGATAGGTAGATTAGCATTGTGACAGCAATTAACGCGTCTCATTAAATGCGCGCTAATATAATTGGGGGCAGGTTATGATAGCGCGTACATGTATGTCAGCCAATCATTAGGTCAAACGCTGATCCTACTCTGACCTTAAAGTGGATTATTTCAACATTGGTGTCAGACAGAAAAATCCCTTAAAAAAATTCCTTGCAAAATCCTTTCAAGGGAGAATTATCTTGCTTCGTTAGAGGATTTTTGAAGGGATAATTGATGACAGACAGCCAATAAAGAGGATAACTAAAATCCAGATTTTTGGCCTCTGTGTGACACCGCCTACTATTTCCAAAATGGATTTTATAGTATTTTGTTGCATTACAAAATACCTAACTAAGGATTGTATTGAGATGATGGCATGAATATATGTAGTTCACATTTAATTTTTTAATTTTTTTTTTTTTATTATACTTTGAAATTCATGGTCCACTATACTTTGCAATGAGAAGAAAAAACAACTTACTCAAACTCAGTAATCAACAGGTCCAACTCACCTATGTCACAATCTAAAACTATGTCCAGCGTATCCACTGCTACATCCTTACTGCAATTAGTAATCCTTACTTCACATTCACAGCTGTTAAAAAATGAATCAAGAATAAAAGATAATAAATAAAAGTAGATAGTAGATTAAAATAACAATATATTGTATGACGATGGATGTTAATAAATGTAGCTGTTATAACTGCAAATATTCTTCAGCTAAAATGCAACTGAAAGAACGAAATAGTGAATATCTAAATGTATACGAAAACGATGATCATGTCCAGATTTTGTAGATAATTAGTTCAACAAGTGATAAAATGGTTATGACATATTGTCATTTGCTCCATTCCTTGTCATTCTTCAATATGGTTGAGACATTGTAGGCATACATTAGTTCAACAGATTTGACTAACTCTTATCCCACTTTGGTCTAATTTCCAAACATGCGATGGACCATTGTAGAAGAGACAAGTACAATGTATATTGAATTACGAACCAATACATTTGGCAGTCCACAGATTTAGGTTCCTGTCAAATAATAATCCCAAACATATCAAATCACAGAGATCATTCTGCAAACATCAATGTGATTTGCAGTAGTAAAAACGGAGACTGGCTGAAATGATCCCAAGGGAGTGGAGAGTTTGCACTGTAAAGTGCAGGCTTGTAATATAATCCCGCAGGGACTGGGGAAATAACACTGTTAGTGCTTTTGTGAGCTACATAGTTTCTGGTATAAGCACTTCATAAGTTATTCCTACTACTGATCCTACTACTACTTCTACTATTATTAATCATTGTTGAATCAATCATTAGTTGCATTATGGCAGACGTCTTACTTTTCTCCTGTCATGAGACTGACTGCCGCACTAGTGCTGGCCTGCTTCTCCGAGGGATCCAGGCTGAGTCTACTGGCAGCCTTGGGCAAGGACGTGGCTATCTTGAGGAGGGGTAGCGCCGGCGCCACCTTGACCTGGTAGAAGGGCTCCTCCACGGCCGGCACGTTGACCAGACGGCAGTGACTCTCCACACCCAGGACGTTGGTGGTGTAGCCCGTGATGGTCAGCAGGCCGGAGCCCTTGGGTTTGCCCATCAGGGAGACGACGTGGGGTCCCGACTGGGGAGGGAGGGTGATGGTGGCGGGGATGGGCTCAAACTTCAGCCCTTCTACCAGAAAACCCTGGAATAAAAGGAGTAGATAATGATGAAAGTGCCTGAGATAAATAGGAATTGGTAATTCATTCAAAGAGAAGGTAGTGAAGGTGTGTCCCCCCCCCCAAAAAAAAAAAAAAAAAACACAACAACAATAACAATATTCAACAATGTTTTTTCTTATAACGTGTACATTTAATTAGTTAATAGTTTGAAAAAAAAGAGACTATGAATAAAACTTTAAAGACTTTTGTCATGTTTAACATTGTACATTGGTATGATCATTACATGTACATTGAATAAGCTGCGATAATTACTGAACTCGAGGTCAAGATCACATGCTAAATACCAATGATGGAGTCTAGATTTCTACATATGTACAATGTAGCCGTGATATTCTCTACTTCTGAGCATCATTATGCATGTAGTGGCATCTTAAAAAGAATATAGCTCTATTATCAGCACAGTGATTGATGACTCCAAGGCTCTATGGGTCATTGATTTTATATTTGATTCGGTTTATTGATTTTTATTTGATTTGATTTGATGTATTGGTTTATTGGCAATAAAGGAACATGCAGCTGGGAAGCTGAAATTGTTCAATTTACAAAGTCAATATACAACACAATAAGCAATCAAAATATGAATGACTAAAACGAACGACTATAAATCATGCATACGGTAATGAAACAAAATGAAAATCAAATATTAAATCAAAATCTAAATATTTTACAAATATTACATCAAAATCTAAATATATTACAAATATCACATCAAAATCTAAATATATTACAAACATTAAAAACCTTCTGTGTCATCAAAAAAGGAGAGGGAGAGAGAGAGAGAGAGAGAGAGAGAGAGAGAGAGAGAGAGAGAGAGAAAGACAGAACTAGAAAGAGGAATAGAAAGAAGAAGAAAAAAGAAAGAAATAAAAGTGATTGTACATGTTCACAAGCAGAGCTGATAATTTTGATGAACTTACTAGATTGCTAACTCTAAGCTCAAAGGGTAAAGGGTTGTAAACTTGAAGACAAACTTCACACGCTTCATTGGATACCCACTTGAAATCTGAAATCAAACAAACAAACAAAATGAATAAAACATCTCAAAAACTATACAATGTACATGAGTAGATAACATTAATGACAGTTATTATTGTCTAAGCTTCACCTATGTGGCTCTGTTACAATGTTACAAGAATTTGAAATATACCTTCACGCTAGGTAGCTTCTACCCCCCCCCCCCCCCCCCCCCCCCCCCTGGGTAGAGAACCCTATTGAAGATTAAATGCTTTGACATGAGGCATAAGCACCTAGCAGAGATTCAAATCTGCAACCATCTATATATAAGGGCTTGTAATTTAATTTTTTTTTTCTCAATATGAACCAACTTATTTTTTTAAAGGAGAAATAAAAGAATAGTTTTAAAGCATTTTACAAGAAGATATGACTGAGCAACTTCATAATCTTGAATTTCTTAACACAAGAATGACTAGTTTTTCAATAATATGCATCAAACTTTAAGAATACTTTACATGCTAGTAACAATAGGGAATTAATCGTTAGATCGAATCATTAACCTTTTGGAATACTGAAAAACAAATGACAACCGTAAACTACATGTGTAATATAAAGCAAACATTTAAAGAGATGACGATATTCAAAGTGTGAATAAAACACTTGCTTGACACACACTCAAGTCTAAATCCAGCATGTGACGGGTAGCATTTGAATGTGTACACCAACGATTCGTTGAAATATCTGTTTGTAAAGAAAACACATACACTGTATATATAAAATGGGGAGACCGTCACTCACCGACTTTGGATTTGTCTCTCTGTATTGTGTTATTTCTTGAGCTGAGTGGAGTGTAGATGAAGGGACTGGAATTGACTGAGTTGAGAGCATCTTTGAGCGAAAGGATCGGAGCTAATCTGTGGGGAAGTAACTGGTTGGACAAACGGATCAGCTGAAAGGATCTGAAAGCAAAAAAGGATAATGCATTATATAATAATAATAATAACAATATTAACTAAAAGGTGCTGATGCAAGAACGTATTTCTTTAAGCCTAACATTATGTGATGAACGAAACCACAATGACCTGCGGAGTAGGGTGATAGAAGGGATGAAATATTTTCTTGAGTTAGATCATTTAGTGCAACGCTGTTGAACAGGAAGCCAGTGAAGAGATTTATAAAAAAGGAGTGATATGTGATGATCTTCTAGAGTTTAAGATTCTAGAGATTATATGATGACATCAATTAATTCTAAAAACAGTTTCCATGAACGAAAATCATTTAAACAATAACGCTGCTACAAAAAAGTTGTGATCATAACAGAAGAAGCAAACTTTCCATTGAAGACAATCTTCTTAAGGACATTTCAAACATGATTTCAAAGAACCATCAAAACTTAATCCCATTCAATCGCAATGTATAAAGTAATAGAACCCTGAATGCAAAACTTGTTGTGAAGCTTTACTAAACACAGGCATCAAGCAGTATAGCATTTCAATCCCTTGAGACCCTTTGGCATTCACATTTATTTTATTATTATTCAGCTACTTTACCCTTTCTCAAGTATTGCACAATTCAGGACTCCAAATCAATCACAAGTTTGCAATCTCCTATATCTTACGTACAGTGTAGATAGTTGCGAATGATATCCAACTCTTTGTAAGGCTGGGCCCAGGACTTACTTAACAATTGGAAATGACGAGAAGGGAACCGCCGGTACAATTAAACCATTGTCGACCGACAGAGGAAGGGGAACACCGGGAGTCTTGCTGGTCAATGTCTCAAGCTGAGCAGCTATCTCCCGCTTCTCGTTCGTAGACATCTTGGGGTGGAATGCATGAAGCAAGAACGAGAGATACCTGGGAGAGAGAAGAACCAAAATACGTTTTATTTCACCGAGGCTGCAGGTCGAGGTTGAAATATACTTGTGAAGTATGAAGTGAATATACATGTGCGTTATATTAACAACGGTATGCATTCTATACTTGTAGTGTAAAAGGGTATTTACGATCTCGTGCCTCCTATCTTTATCGAGTCTACATCCCTCTCGATGTGTGTCATGTAGCCTTGCACATCATATGCGTGCAGCCACGACAATGTGTGTAATATATGTGGTATTCCATGCAAAAGAAGAGTGTTGAACTGTATATTGCACCCTCCTGCACATATAACAAAATGTTGAGTATCAAGTAATAGCTTCTCAGCCATATAAATGCTCTCTAAGACAACCCTAAATTATATAACTTTTTTTAAATAATGGTGTCTTGAATATTTCTAATGCGTTTAAGTGAAGATGAAGGGAAAGTGGAGAGATTTTAATTCATGATCATACCACAGCTTTAAAATAATAAAAAACTTTACAAATCAAATTGTTTAATTTCAGATTTCTGTTCATGCTTGCACAATTCCTGAGCACAAGATAAAAACTTCAGTATTTCTGCATCTAAAGTATTTTTTTTTTCATATCCAAAGTGTTCCACAGTATCCAGCTTTTGATATAAGAACCCACTTTTAATTTCCAGAAAAAATGATTATTTTTCCAAAATCAATATATACATGTAGGACTGCCTATGCCACTGTCAGCATTTTAAAAGCAGCAATGAAAATATCATGCATTACTATTATAAGCAATGCCATTGCAAACAGGACCCCTATCTTCTTAATGACACTTAGCATACCATCTTACCTCACAGCTAATCTATGGTCTCCCATTCGTCTGGCTGTTAAATCATCTCATTCAGAAGTTTGATTTGCAAAATCGGCCATCCATGAGGCTCATCTATCAAATAAGATGTTGAGAAATGAATTTAGATGTGTTTTACCACATTATACCCTTCTTTCTTCATCTCCTTTTCTTTATTTCTTTCCTTCCCTCACTTCCTCCCTCCTTCCTTCCTTCCTCCCTCCCTCCCTATCTCCCTATGTCCCTCCCTTTCTCCCTATCTCCCTATGTCCCTCCCTTTCTCCTATCTCTCTATGTCCCTCCCTCCCTCCCTATCTCCCTATGTCCCTCCCTCCCTCCCTATTTCCTATGTCCCTCCCTCCCTCCCTATCTTCCTATGTCCCTCCCTTTCTCCCTATCTCTCTATCTCTCTCATGTTAGCCCTCAAGATTGACATAATTCCAGAAAACATCTGCAATTTAGTTCAAACAGAAAACCTTGGAAATGTTTTTACATGAGCGATCATCCAAAAAATTCAAGCTACAGAACACTCCTTCATATTTAAGCTCAATCCAATAGAAGAGTATTATGCATGTCCCATACAACTCTCTGCTTTGACATACCTCACAGGAAGCAGTCAAGCTTAATTCCCTCACATGATTATACCTGCAATGAATTCACTACATATGACCTTATCATCATACAGTCAAACCTGCTTTAATGACCACCTGTCTAGAAAAAACACATTTTTGTTTCCCTTGAAAATGGTTTCTCATTGAAACATTTAAGGAACCTGTCTACAAAGACCACCTGTCTACAAAGACTACTTTTTGTGTTTCCCTTGGGCGGTCACTACATGTATAGACAAATTTGACTGTACAAACATTAAACCATCTGTGGTGCCGAAAATACTTGCAACAACTTTTGCTGGTATATTCTGTCATAATCTACATACAAGTACATACATATGTGTATCATCTTTTTATAACTCTCCTTGAATTTAAATTTTTAGAAGATCAAATTGAAAAATTTCAATTTTCATCCAGATAATCTTTGACTTACCTGGTTTAAATTCCTTTACATTGAGAGACAGCTTGTAGCCATCCAGAGCTTCCAGAAGTAAACTATGACACTGGTATAAACATAAAAGAAAAGAAATCATGAATTTCCATCATGTATAATAAATCATTTATCACCTATCCAATCATTTCTTTATGCAAGTAAACTGAAAGTATACACAACCGTTCCTTCAATGCTCTGTGTTTTTAATCATTTTTTGTCAGCATTCCTATACTGCATTGAGTGATACGTATGCATGAAAATTCATTTGCTTTATACCCCACTCAATAAGAAAAAAAATGTTGCTTTTTAATTTATCAATATCAAAGAAATAAGAAATACTTTGTAATAGTCATTTTGTTTGGTTGCTTTATTTTGTTTTGTTTGTTCTGTTGGTTTGTGTGTTTTAAGAGGGGAGGGGGGGGGGGGGGTACCAAAACTGCACGAGCATGAATCTTGTAGCAGAAATTCAAAGGCTGTTATCGGAAATTAAGAACTGACGTACCATAGCCCAGCTAGAGTTTGGATTTGTCGGACTGACACACTGCATCGCAGCTACCCGCTTGAAGAACGCAGCCTTCCGATGAAAACCGATCTTCGAAAACAACCTGGAGAGGGCACTGTAACGCTGCACCTTCTCGTGTTCTGGAAGATTGAGGTTGATGTAGATCACGTTCTGAAGGAAGTCTGCAGCATCCATTGTTTTCTGGGAAAAGAAGAAAGCATTCTTCTTAGTAAAACTATTTTCATTCTTAAGGATACTGTATTTTTTGCCGAGAAATTAAGTGGAAAGGTTGTCCAGAGACTCCACATGTTTAATATGTAGGTAAACAAACTTAACCCCATTAATCTCAGAATTTAAATGCATGATATGTAGCAAGATTGAGGCATATTCTATGGTTGTAAGATGTACAATTCAATAAAAAGAACCTTTCAGGTTCGTGTCTTTATTAGCAGAGAGCATCTATTAAATCAATGCTCCTAAGAGTTCCAACCCTGTTCCTTAAAGAGATTATGGTGAAAGATTTTATCCAAACACTATTTTCAATTAAATGTAAATCCATTTACTTCTAATTACCTTGTTTTTTAAGTGGATTTTTCTTGTAGATTCTGACATTTACATGTAAATAAGTAAACGATTTGGAATGAGTCACACATACAGTCCCCTTTTTATAAACGTAACAACTCTTCTCTTCGCATTTTCAAATCGTTTTAACATTCATTTTTCTTGCTGCAAAAGTAAATTTGAAGAGCAGTTTGGTGCAATACAATCTTATAAAAGCGACTTGTATTTTCACTATAAAACTAAAACTCATGCCTGCACAAGTAATACACAAATTAGAAAAATGATACTACCAGTACAACAGACTGCTCAGACAACAGAAATTTCTCTAAATATGACTAAACAAGTATGGAAGCAACATACACATGTACATGTCAAATTTTCTACATCTAAGAGTAAATAAAAATCACTTATCATGCATAAATTGAACATTCTTAAATTGAAGAAGCAAAAAAATGGACATCAAAATCAATCACATTTTTAATCATAAGTTTACCCAAACTCAATTGGAATGAAATAATATTCTTCACATGAATAAAAAGGTGCTGTGAAATGGAAAAATAAATAAGAACTACCAATCTATTTGACGAAAATTTGAAAATAATCAAAATATGTATGAACACAGATTTCCCCCCTAAAAAACTGTTAAGTATCCTCCTCCTCCTCCTCCTCCTCCTCCTCCTCCTCCTCCTCCTCCTCCTCTCCTCCTCCTCCTCCTCCTCCTCCTCCTCCTCCTCCTCCTCCTCCTCCTCCTCCTCCTCCTCCTCCTCCTCCTCCTCCTCCTCCTCCTCTCCTCCTCCTCCTCCTCCTCCTCCTCCTCCTCCTCCTCCTCCTCCTCCTCCTCCTCCTCCTCCTCCTCCTCCTCCTCCTCCTCCTCCTCCTCCTTCTCCTCCTCCTCCTCCTCCTCCCTCTTTGCCTTCTCCTTTACCATATCTTTTCCTTATTCCTTAAGGGGTTTGTTTACTGGTTTAAATGAGTTCATTAAAATGTCTTTGTACAGCAAAATTACTCTGTCCTGGTGATCACTTCAAGCATTACATAAAACATGTTATTAGTTTATTTCAGAAGTCAATTCACACATCCTAAAGAAAGAATACACACCAATACATCCATAAAGCCTGAAAATACATGTAATCATTACAACTTAAAAAGATAATCTATGATTACCTCACAGCATAAAAATGTACAAGGTCAAATACAAGGGAAAATCATTCATGCATAACACCATGCTCCACAGATCGTGCTAAATCAAATAGAGTGGTGAAGTGTGACGTCATCAAAAATCTATTTTTGGAATTTCTCAATTTTTCTTCATTTTCCGAAAGAGCATCAAAAATAATGTCCAAATGTCCAAAACCAATTGAATATGTTAAGTATTGGCTGAGATATGTACATCTGAATAAATATATTTCCTATAGGAACTCAGTGTTATTTGCTCTGGTTCGTAATGGTTAGGAGCCAGAGCAAATAACACTGAGTTCCTATAGGAAATATATGTATTCAGATGGTCATATCTCAGCCAATGATCAACATATTCAATTGGTTTTCGACATTTGGACATTATTTTTGATGCTCTTTCAGAAAATGAAGAAAAAATTGAGAAATTCTAAAAATAGATTTTTATGACGTCACAGCTTCGGTACTCTATACTGACTGTGTACCTTGTTGGTCAGCATTTCCCCTTGCTCCTGAGTTATATAGGATATTACAGGGATCAAATGAGAATATAACTTCCATGTTCATTTGGAAGCAAGGCAGCGGTGAATGAATGAAAGCTTCAAGTACAATGTATGAGCAAAATCAGGTATCAACATTTTGTTGTTGGCTTTATGGTATTATCTTGCAGGGGGAAATGGTCTACATGTATACGGAAGTTAGAAAATGAAGGATATAATCCCCCCCTCCCCATCAGTATGACAATACAATAATCCTGTGACTGACTGATGTTTAAAACTATGAGCATGACAAAATAGTTTCTACATCCTGGGCATTGGTATCTGGGCATTTGTATCTGAAGACTTGAGCAATGTATGTTTGGACAAGACAAAGAAGGAATGAAATACATACCTTTATCTAAATCATTTTAATGAACATACATGTACATGTACATGTATGATTACAAGCCTCATGCACTCCCAACACACACACACTTGTTTTGCCACTATCAGACTAATGGCTTACATATATCTGACAGCCTAACTAAAGATTATAGAGCTTATTGCCTAATCCTGATCTATGATTGTTATTAAAGGTAATACAAAGTTTTGGGGACTTTTGAAATTGGGTGGATAGTGATTCTTGACAATTTTATTCTATTTGGATGCCCCTGTGGATGTATTATAAGCACTAGAAAATTTAGCCCCTAAAACACTTCTGCTTTCAAGAAAAATTGAATATAAAAATTTACCAGTGCTCCCGGTAAATTTCAAATATTTCAAATAGCTCCTAAGGCCATTTCGTGGTAGCTGCGACCATGAAAATCTCAGAATATGCAGTTCTGATATACAATTTCCAAACAGGAATAGCCAATCAGTTGTTTGTAGTCAAGAAACATTGTTTTAAAGCTAAAGTAATATCAGCCTTGAGAGGAAGCTATACAACATAAAGAGTTTAATATCTACAATTTCATCACTTTAGACTCGATTTCAACAGCGACAACGATCATTGATTATTGTAAAGTCTCAAATGCTTCCAATATGTTTATTTGAACCAAATTCATGACCCCATACCAAAACTTTGTATTACCTTTAAGGCTACAGACGGTATATACATGAATCTGCCATTTTGTCTACGAAATGATAAAAAAGGCATGTCAATATACTGTGTTATGTTGAGTAGAGATAATCTGTGAAACATTGCATTAGATTGCTCAATAGACGAGTTTGTGGTTTAGTAGATGGTTCAAATTACCCCAAATATTCAGATATCTCTAACAATTGGGAGGTCCCACTTTGCACATTTAAATATAATGCATATGGAAGTGCTTTATAAATAGCATGGTTTCCCCAACTTTGGAATGAATAATGCACCTGTCTATATCGTGGAATGCACTTCTGGTTAATGGACGAGTATAATATATTCAATGGATTATGGATGAGTACATATATATATTTCAGTGGATTTTGCATGTTGGTACTAATGACCTTTATCTGCCCATTCACAGGCTGTAATACGTCAGTTACATCAACCAATTCTTTGCCGTTAGGGGGTAATGCATGTGTTTTGTTTGGTCTGTTTTGGGATTCAGTGGTGTAAACAAGAAAATTGGGTATAAACAAGAAATTGCTTGATGCCTTATGCTCCTGGAACACCAAATGTTTCTAAGAATGGAAAGCGCCACAAAAGGAGAGGAGGACTATTCAATGTGCAAAGTCCTGTACGACACGCGACTGTATTCCATTTCATGCCATCCCCAAAACGAAAAATCGCTTGATGTGACAATTGAATACCGGTAATGATTCTTTCAGTATCATTCTTTAAAGCAATCTCATAAAAAGATTTTTCATTCTTGGATTATTAAAAAATTGTAAAACACATGTCGTACAGGATTTTTGGCAAATAATTTCCCAGGAGCCTGATACCATTGGTCTGACCTCACCCATGCACCCTGCTTTCCGTCTAGCTCTATTATATATCTATGGTCTGTACATACCCTTTGCTTGATAAGGACTTCTGCAGCTTTAATGCACGCCTCCATTTCTATGATCGCAGCATTCGTATACTGAAGGAAAAAAAGGTTATTGACAATAATGATCGGTGTAAATGTCTGAAAACTCGAAATATACATATCAGTCTGCCCAAATTTTTATTCTCAGTTTACAGTTTGAATGTTTTTTTCAGACATCAGTGAATTTGTATGCATTGTATAATCACACAGAAAATCCTACATTGTCATATATTTGAAGCTGATTGGGCAATTTGTGTGCCTGGAAGAGTCACAAGGCTCCATAATATTTAGTTAAGTACTCAAATGACCAAAAAAATATTGTATGAACACAGATTGTATGAAAGATTGTGTCATTTATTGCTTGTGCCATTTCTTCAAAAAATTAGATGGTAGTCTGATCGTAACATCCAGTGGGCTTCAGATACAGATACCTGAAATGAAGACTAGCGGCATTGTTATCTAATCTTCAAAGAAGTGAACTTATATAAGGCAGCTTTATGATCTCTCCTTGAATGAGTGGTCTATGGATGTATTTGAAATGTTACCTTCGCATAGTGAACTATAGCATCCCTGTATTTCTCAATGATGTCATCAGGGGGAAGGCAGTTCTTTGGCAGGTCTTCATCTTCCAGCTTGTCATCCACTCCATTCATTGTGTCATAGCTCCCTGTCAGTTTATAATCAATGGAGAACATGTGACATTATTAAATTTCACAGTGATCACACTCTATTAGAACAATCAAAAATTCTTTGTTAATTCTTTGTTAATGAAAAATGTTGGAACACAGCTCATGTGAAAGGTGAAGGCGTTTTTGGCAAAAACATTCTAGAATTTGGTTAATCTCTATAACAGTACAAGGGGCTCATTCAAACTAATTTACTAGTAAACCAATTAAAGATCCTCAGGTGAATGTCATAAAGTGATGAAGTAATGTAATGCACTGGCCTACAGGTGATCTCTTAGATCAGTTAGATGTACATATATACACCATCAAAATTCATAAAAAAGGAAAGACACGTACAAAACAGACATAAAGGCCCAAATTCACAAAGAAGGTTTAAATTTAACCCATTTTTTAAACCTTTCTTTACATAACCCATGGATTAAAAAATTAGCGCAAATTAAGCATACCTTGCCTTGCTTGCGTCTAATATTTGACCTCTGACTGTGTCGCGCTTATATTGCGCTAATTCTAAACCATGGGTTATGTAAGTGAGGGTTTAAACCATGGGTTAAATGTAAACCTCCTTTGTGAATTCATGAATTCAAAGGAAAGAGAGTGGAAGAAAGAAGGAAACTGAGAGCAGGAAAGTGAGGGCATACAGAGGGAGGGGAAGGGGGGGGGGGAGTTGCAGAGCAAACAGTGAGAGGGGAGACAGAAATTGACACAGTGGGGCTAAATGTATGTGAAAAAAGTAACTTGACAGAGAATCTGAGGAAGAGAAAGAGACAGAGACAGAGAGAGACAGAGAGAGAAAAGAGAAAGACAGAGAGACAGAGAGAAAGAAAGAGAGAGAGAGAAAAAGAGGGAGACAGAGATAAAGAGAGAGAGAGAGAGAGAGAGGGTAACAAAGAGTACGGCTATCTACTCACCAGTCCGGTGAAGTTTCTCTTCCGGTGGCTTCAGCAATGACTCGCCACTGAAGGAAGCATTCCTAGGAATCCCTTTGGTTTTAGGGTCTGTAGGATACAGCTGGATGACAGAAGCTGCACACATGCCTTCAAGGCAAGCTGTAATATTTTCAAAATAAGGTTGAAGTCACTCCAAAGTTTACAGAAAACAAAGTGTTCAAGTGAACAAATGTGGTAGACCAAATAAAATGTCATTAAAAACAATTTTGTTTTCAAGATTTCATCCCATGTGTCACAAAATGTTAAATATTAGAGCATCTACATGATATTTTACAATGATTTTAATTCTACCATTCAAATTCCATACAGTATTTCACATAATTACAATATGGAATAGTTTTGAGACCAATGGCGGAATGCATTTTCAGCATTTTGATCAATTTGGCAATGGAATGAGAAAATATTCGAAGTCATTTTAGCATTGTTGCTGTTAATAGAATTATTCTGATGATTTACAGAACTGGCATCTATTCTTTAAAAAAATAATATGGAATCCATGATTAATCTTCGCCATGTTATTATTACACAGGGCAGAGGCTTTAAAGCCCACTTTAAAGACAGATTTTTGATATATTCTGAAGTGAACTTACCTGCCATCCACAGCCAATCGTTGGCTCCTTTCAAGATCTCGTAAGCCGTCTGATAGTGGACAAACGCATCCTGTGTCATGCCAGCCATCAGGCTTAGATCACCAACGTGCTTACGCATTCTACCCTGTACACGCCGCCGAAACGTCCTGACAAAGATAGCAAATTTGTGGTCAAGTGGAAGGTTAAGGAGTAGGCTGGTTACAAAATTGATTTGAACTTTTACATCAACTGTTAATTACAGTGTTGGTTTTTGCATTGCAAGATTATCTATTTCTTTCTTGAAATGTTCTTGAGGTTTTAGCTCTGGACTTCTTTTAATCTTCCATACAAGTATATGGTTCCACCAAGGGCACTGAATCCATTTTTTTCATAAAATTAGGACATAAAACCATTTTATTTATTGAGAAACTGTAGAACAACAACAATTGGGGTGCATTCAAAATTGCTACTACATGTACCAATATACTGGAAAATAATTTTATTCCTTTTAATACCACCAACGAGAGTGCTGGATGTAGGATTGGGACTGGTCACATGTTAATCTCCAATCAATCCCTTGGGTAAAAGCCTTTACCAACATTATCGTCTAAGTGTGCACTCATTGGACCATTGTTTATGTTGCTAATTCACTTCTGCACTAGTAGTGTATAAAAGCAACTCTACAATCAGTATCAGCAAAATTTAATTTAGGCCTATTTACAATGTCTACATTATTATCTGATTCAGGGATTATTCAAATTTCACTTTGCTGCAAATACAGTATGTGGTTTCGAAGTAAAAAGGGAAACTATTATTTTACTCTCCCCTTGTATGATCTTCCCTAGATAAATCTTTGCCAATACATCGAAAATCTATTGAAGCCTATAGATAGATTCTAACAGATACAGCGTTAGAAAAGGGTGAGTTTGTATGTGTATAAGTGCTTAATGTTTTGATTACCTTGTCTCTGTATCAATGCCCACAATATCCTTCCGCTCAAATGGAGCCATTAAGAGAGGGAGCTTGTCGTTTCTGTTGGTGTTTGTTTTATCGAGCCTCTTGGATTCCAGCACCCAGAACAAAGCTGCAGCAAACTCCTTGACATCATCCTCTAACTGATCGCAATCTTCCATACTTTTGTAATAAACAGCATCCGGTCTGACCCCAGATGCGCTCTCCTGCACAGTCTCTTCCGACATCCCAAACACGAAGCACCGGGAGTCAAAGAGTGTGCTCCGAAACGTCTCTTTCATCGTGTCAAAGTTTGCATACACGGTGGCTAGTTCAATCTCAGAAGCTGCCTTTCCCAGGCAGATGAGGCCGGCGACACGTCGATGGACCTGGAAGTCACCCCACTCATTGTTCTCCAGATGTACGAGACGTTTGTATCTGAGCCAGATGCCACGTTTGTTATCAGGCAACCTCACGTACGTGACACTGGTGATGCGGTCAATGGTCCTGGCGAATAAGCGAACTTTGACCGCTCCTACGGGTTTGACCGTTACAAGAAAGGCCTGATGGTCCTCAGGGGTTTGAGTGTAGTCGGCGATACTCATGATTGCTGATGATTGAAACCCACAATGTTCAGGGTTAATTCATGTCCATGCCTCTTGCTCAAGGAAGAACCATCTCCTTTGATAGGAAAAGAGAAAACACAGAAGAAATAAATCATAATCTTGATGAATAGATTGTACTAGATGTATGTGGCAATACTCTTGATGAGGTAGTAATGATCAAGGCAATGATATCGCTGTGCAATTTCTACACTAATCTGTATAAACTTTAATATACATGCAGGTCTAAGAGTGATTAGTTTAGTGTACTAATAAAGGTGTAATAACTATAAAGGTGCTATTACTGTAGACCTTTACCAGTAGGGTCGCTGGTTCGAGAATGAGGATCGTCCGCATTACCGAGGATATCCTCATAAACGCAGACAAATGGCATTCTATAAGCTCTCTCCTCGCACTAATATCTTGTACAACATTGAGCAAATGGCAGCCGGCGATGGCCAAACAGAAGGGCTCATGCAGGCTGAGACGGGATGAACGTAATGCGCATGCGCTAGTGGTAAGCTAAAGTTCTACGTGCTCAGCCCGGCTGAACTACTGTCAATATCTGAGTGTGAGATACTCAGCTCTTGAGTTTAGGTGTAGCCTTTAATCTACTCTTTAGATCTAAACTACATGTAGGTAATATGAAATATGATATTGATATCACTACAGTGGTACAGGGAGACCAAGAAGATAGACCTGAAAGCTTGACTGCTGTCTTAGCATTCTTCCAGTACTTGCGATAAACAGTAGGGGCGCTGGTCCGAGAATTAGAATTAGTCCGCATATATATATATATAAGGATCGTCTCTGTTAATGCGGACAGATGCATCCTAAAATATAAGGATTGTCAGTGGACAATTCTTATTTCCGTTCTGCGCGTTGGCGATGCGGAAAACAGATTGGGTCTGGAGAGGATTTTATTAGGCAGAATCCGTTTTTCGCATCGCCAGCACGTGGATAGGTCGCCCGAAACCCGCCGAGATCCGAAGAAAAAAAACATCTGCGAAAATACAGACGATCCTTATTTTTAGGACGCATTTTGTCCACGTATACAAGGATATCCTCATGTATGCGGACGACCCTCATTCTCGGACCAGTTCCCCTACTGCCACACAAAGAACTTTGCGCATTGAGCGCTGTATAGTGAGTTTACACGCTCTCATAGGCTAATTCGCTCGAGTGGCTTCGAATTTAAGAGAGAGAGGGTCTACTTAACTTTAAGTTCGATGACAATGTGATCAATACAATACGTAATATTATGTCACACCATGCACCACAGAGATTTTGACATGTCATGCTTTAAACAGGTGACGCATTTCACACATAACTGATGCACACAGGGCATTGCACACACATAAAATAGAGAAATCAACGAACATCAGATGAACGATTTGCGCATGCGCAAAATGAAAGCTACAGACAGTTCTACGCACTGAGACTGAGACTACCTCTGGCTCAACTAACCGCCTGTGAGTGAGGGGAAGGTTGACAAATGTCAGTTTTATTTTTAAATTACCCATACCAGACGGTTATTTCTGTTTAATTATCAACTTGCCTTTATTATGGCTAAGTCACACTTAGTCACTCACACTCACACTCACAGCACAGTAATAACGAACCCGAATTTAGCATCGACTCTGTACAGTAGCAATGCCATTGCTAAGGATTCCGACTCGTCTTACCCGAGAAACGGCAGTGAAAAGACAACTTTCCAGGTATTCAATATAATCTTTGTTGTTACGTACAGTATATTAAGTACTATATCAATCCAAACGGACCCATAATGTTACTACTCTTCATGTGAAAATAGGTAATATGTGTTATATATACTAGCTTTACTCACTAAATTTTAGAACTTGAGCTTCGCAGTACACTCCCACGGCATTTAAAAATTGAAACTTCCGATCAAAAAATTGCCTCATTTCAGTCAAGTCAGTGAGTTGTCTATATGGTAGTTATGTGTCACAAATAAAAATAAAATAAAATAAAATAAAATTGTATGGACCCGAACACGGTAGGATCGAGGCTCGTTTGTAATTGTTTCTCCAATACAAATTTAGATCGGATGACTTGCAACTTTTGTACTATCATATTCTCTCTTCTTGTTTGCGTCTTTTGTTCTGTTTTGAATGTCATTGCCTTTCTAGACCTATTCACTTTTTTGCATTAGCTTTACTTCAAACTATATATTAATGATAATTATTAATCATGAATAATTAATACTATAGTGAAGAAGAGTTTTCATTATTATTTGTTTATTGCCTTGACGGAGGATTGTCAAAATCAAATTGTTTGTTCCATATATATATATATATATATATATATCAAGACCAGAGCATCTTCAAAACTATGGATGGGGGGGGGGAGGACACCCCCCAAAAAAGAGCACTTTCTGGAGAAAAAAAGGGCACCTACAAAGAAAAACCGTCTCAAAAAATATACAATTTTAAGACAGTAGCATATACCCCTACATCGTGATTACATTATCAGGGATGATTTCAATGTCTGCTTTTCTCTTTGAATGGTCCAAGATACTGCTTATAAGCATTATACTTTGCAGTTGGGTGTAATGGCCTAAATATTCATTTGCGAAAAAGCAAAGCGAGCGAGTAGGCCTACTAAAAGTGTTAAAATTTGTGATGTGGCAGTGAGAAAAATATATAAAGAGGAAAAGCCAATCCTGATGAGGTTTAAGCACAAGCCAATCATTAAATACTGAAAACGCCTTCATACTAAAACACAATTATGACTTACGAGCGAGCTTAATCTAAAGAAAAGTAAAGAAAAATTTGATCTTATCCCCTTAAAATGAGGGACACATTTTATGGTAAAAAGGAAAAATTTTATTAGAAGGGGAAGCCGGCTCTTATTACAAAGATGGGGGGGGGGCGGAGGATACTTCTCTTCTTTTATTTTGACATGATCCCTTTTTCTTCGACAAGTTCCCATTTTCCTTTGCAATAAGTATTAATTTTCCATTCTCTTAAGTACTCCTTTTCATATCTGGTCATTGCCCCTTTTCACTGAGGTTCGATAGTGACCCTTTTCTCCTCAGATAATTTCTCTTTTAACAATGATACGTGCCCCTTTTTTCTAATAAGGGACCGATCCCCTTTTCATAAATACCCCTTTTCACCCCTTATAAATGCCCCAATCAAAATCTGATGGGGGCCCATTTCCGTCGACAAATGCCCATTTACCATTCTCATAAGTGCCCTTTTTTATACATGATGGGTGCCTCTTTTCAGGTATAAGAAGTGTCCCCTTTTCCTCTCATCATTAAACTGCATTTAAAGCGACAAAGAGCAATTTCCCCCAAATGATATAAGGTCTTTTTAGTCTTCCGTTATGAGAACGGGCTTATAACCCCATCAGGATTGGTTTTTTCCCTCTTTTTTAGATATAATTGTTCGTACTGGCCGGGACCTCACAAATCTTAAATGTTTCCTCGCTCGCTTCGCTAGCTCGCAAATGAATATTCAGACCATCACACTCGACTGCAAAGTATGACAGGCGCGGATCAAGGATTTCTTAGGGGGGAGGCCCAAATTTAAAACTATGCGAGCCGAATATTGGTACGTAATGGTGACACCGGCAGTGGCGAAATGAGCAAAAACATTTTTTTTTTGGGGGGGGGGGGGGGGCGGGGGGGGGGGGGTAGACAAACACAAATCTGCATCTGCAAGACATTTAATTACGGTCAGATGAGCATATTTTTATACCTTTTTTGTGACAGTGGCAGGACACAAATTGGTGTGGGGTCTAGGGGACGGAGCCCCCAGAAGCTCAGGGGGTATAAACATTTAATTACGTTCAGACAGTGGCGTAGACAGGTTCGTACACCTGGGGGAGAGGACTCAGGGGTGGATCTAGCTTTTTGGTAAGGGGGGGGGGTTGACCAAAATAATGACGATGCAGAGCATCGTCCACGAGCCGCGAAGCGGCGAGCCGATTTTTTGGGGGTGTTTATTTGAACCCCGTAAGTGATGTTTTCCTGGCATCAATTAACACAATGGAGACCATAAAAAGCAGTGCATGATAACGTCTTTTTAAATCAAGTAACAGTTAAATACACAGTTATATCCAGAGTTATCATGTGTTCGGTTAAGTTACCAGATGAGTTGAATATCTTCTCACAATATTTGCACTTGAAAGGGTTTCTCTCCAGCGTGCGTTCTTTTTCTTTCTTTTTTTCTTTTTTTCCCCCTTTTTTGTTTTGTTTGTTTTTTGGGCCGCCCAAGGGGGGGGGGGGGGGTTAAACCCCCTAACCCCCCCCCCCCCCCCCCCGTAGATCCGCGCTGTTTAATCTTGTGGTTATCTTGTGGTTTCCAAACTACAAGATAACCACAAAATACTTGTAAGATTTTCTTTTTTTACCGTCTGAATTGGCTTTCACCGTGTGAATGCGGCTAATAACAATAAACACAATTACAATAATGATGAGGATTATTATATCATCATCATGATTATTATTATTATTAATATTATAATTGTTATCATTATTATTATTACTATTATTATCATCATTATGACTTATTAAGTAAGCAAATATCATTCCCCAAAACCTGGGGGGGGGGGGATGATTGTACATGCCATCCCCCCCCCACCTTGTGAGGTGGGGGGATGCATCCCCCTCATCCCCCCGTTGTCTACGCCCCTGCGTTCAGATGAGCATATTTTGATACCTTATTTGTGACACTGGCAGGACACAAATTGGTGTGGGGTCCAGGGGACGGAGCCCCCAGAAGCTCAAGGGTTTTATAGATTAAATAACCGCCAGATGAGCATATTTTGATACCTTATTTGTGACACTGGCAGGTCTCGAATTAGCGTGGGGTCTGGGGGCAGAGCTCCCGGAAGGTCAGTGGTTTTGGGCAATAAATTACCGTCAGATGAGCGTATTTTGAAATCTTATTTGTGACACTGGCAGGACAAAAATTGGGTCCAGGGGCGGAGCCCCCAGAAGTTTAAGGGTTTTATACATTAAATTACCGTCAGATGAGCATATTTTGATACCTCATTTGTGACACGTACTGGCAGGTCACGAATTTGGTGTGGGGTCCAGTGGGCGGAGCCCCCAGAAGCTCAAGGGTTTTGGGCTATAAATTATGGCCAGTTGAAGTTGTTTTGATACCTTATTTGTGACACTGGCAGGACACGAATTGGCGTGGGGTTCCAGGGGCAGGCGCGGATCCAGGGGGGGGGGCGAGCGGGCCTTGGCCCCCCCCCCCGCAAAAAAAAAAAAAAAAAAAAAAAAAAAAGAGAGAGAGAGAAGGAAAGAAGTGAAAGGGAAAGAGGAGAGAAAGGGAAAAAAGAAGAGGAAGAAGAAAAGAAAAGAGGGAAGAGGTAGATCGGGGGGGGGGGGGCAAAAGGACTTGCCTCCCAGGCTGTTGCCCCCCCCCCCCCCCCAATCAAAAAATAAAAGAGAAGCAAGGAAAGGGAAAGAAAAAAAGGAAAAGAGGAGATACAAGAAAGGAAAAAAGAGGAAGAAGAAAAGAAAAAAAAGGGGATAACCACACAACAAATCGTCTTCTTTCTCTAATGATTTAATGAAACGTAAGCTTCCGCTTAGCGCGGGAGAAAGAAAACTCAATTCAGACGAGGATTATTTTTTGGGAACGGTACAGCAAATCGTCTTCTTTCTCTAATAATTTATTGAAATGTCAAAGCTTCCGCGTTTCGCGGAGGAGGGAGAGGGAAATCGCCCCTCCCTGCACCCACCCACCCACCCCCAATTACGTCACTGCTGGTCACCATTACGAACCAATATTTGGCTCGCATAATTTCAAATTTTGCCCCCCCCCCCCTAAGAAATCCTGGATCCGCGCCTGATGTATATATACAGCGGCAACAGTTTTAATATAAAATGTAAGTTCTTCTTACTTAAATCATTGGTCTGGAAACAATTATTTGCCCATTGTTGTGTATTGTATTACATTTTCACTGACAATGAATTCACATTGTAATGCAATTTTCAAGTTTCCCAGGCCTATTTAGGAGAACAGAAGATTGATATTGTTTAGTTGTACGATAACATCACTCAGTTTGATTTGATTTGATTGGGATATATCTCATTAAAAACAGAGTAAAGGCTATACAGTTTCAAACAAACCTACACCATTAAACTTCAAGCTCACTCACACATGATTTATTGCGACACTTTCAAGGCTACTTATTATTTCAAGTTCATGTATATACAAAGGGCAACAGCTTCAATATTAAACGTAATTAAATCAATGGTCTGGAAAATGTTAATGCCCATTGTTGTATATTATACAACATTTTCCATAACGATGAATATACATTGTATGATGCAATTTTCAGGAAAACCATACTTGTCATTACTGTTATATTTGTTATATGATACTAAAGCAAATCGTTTCGCTTATCGATAAGACAAATCAATGTGAAGTACGTGTCAAATAATGAAATCATTACGTGCTATTTTTAACCAGACTAGACATTTGAAACGTATAAAAAATGTATACACTATTGACAGCAAGCAAGTTTTTTAAACAAAGAATTCAGAAATTGAACAACATTGCACATTTTAGTCTACACGATATGCTCTACACCCTTAGTTGGACTGTAAACAGTTGTCTTCTTAAGTCTTCCATATAAATATAAATTTAAAGGAGGTCAATAATCATTACGAAAACACCACTTTCGTAAGGTTGACACATCAATATATATTGTGCACACATGTAACAATGTGATAATATTTTTTCTGGGGGGGGGGGGGCGGGAGGAGGGCAATCCAAAAAGGGACTGATATGTGAACATTAATATTGATAGGTCGCTTCACAAAAGGGGCATACATAGTCCTTTTTTGTGGATAGTTTTTTGAGCAAAACACAAAATAGGTGGAAGGACGTGGTACACGTCTTTCTTCAATTTTCTGAGGGGGATCGTCCCCC